AGCAGGGCCGGCAGGCCGGCCGGCTGGGAGAGGACCCTCAAGGGCATGGACAGCAAGCGGCCGGGAGCCCGGGAAGTGCCCCCAGTTCACGTCCACCTCTGCTGAGCCAGGGCCACAGCAGGCCCTGGAGACACTGAGAGCCGGGAGGCGTGACGCCCGGCCCCCGGGGTGGGAGCGGGTAGAGGCAGTAACAGGAGCATCCGGCCGCTGTGCGCCCAGGGCAGGTGAGTTATCACCTCCCTTCAGCGACGGGGACCCCGAGGCACAGAGCGGGGCCTGCCCGAGGGCACAGGGCCAGTAGATGGGGCAAGTGTTCAGGCCGCCTGGCCCAGGACCCGTGATCTTACTCCCAGGTGGTCGGATAATAAGAGGGGTGGGGCCGGCGGGGATTAGAGCAGCACGTAGGGCCCCAACCTGGAAGTGAGGGTGGATGAGACCCGCCACTTGGCTGAAGTCTGGGGTTAGCCTCGGGGGGGAAGGAAGCAGGAGGGAGGTTCCGGAGGTCGAACAGCACGTGGGCAGGGCCACCCAGAGAGCAGTGCAGCTTGTGCACTGCACAATCCCCATCATGGCAATGTCAACGTGCCCCCTGAACTGGGCAGCTGGACCAGGCCAGTAGAGAGCGTGGCAGGGAGGGGAGGCCATGAGGGGGAGGGGTCGTGAGTGGGGACGTGAGCTGGAGCGCGGGCTTCACAGGCCCCGTCTTTGGAGGAAGGCGCTGGACTCTGCTTCCGTTGGGGCCACGTGAGTCCCTACCACGTGGGCTGGTCTGCAGATCGAACTGCAGACCCTGGAGGGAAATCGAGTCTACCCACGGCACCAGATCGTGAAATCCAGCGGGCAGAGTTCTGGAGGGGGCCGACCCCTGAACAAGAGAACAGCCCAGAATGAGTTCCTCGCTTTATCCCAAGGGCAGCTTGTAGCTGTTGCCTCAGTTGTAGCTGTTCTGAGCAGCCAGATCCCGGAATCCAGGGCAACCACAGCCTCTGAAAAGTGAGGGAGGATCCGCAAGGGGGGCCTTCAAGCTCGCCCCAATCCCCAGCAGCCCCTGCAGAGGCAAGCGCGGGGCTCAGAGCAGCCCCACCGAGGACGAGCTCCTGAGCTGGGTTTGGAGCTGCCACCCCAGGGGCAGGGTTTGTAGTCTGAGGTCAACCCTTGAGCTGGTGCTGAAACAAATGAACGGGAACATGAAATCCAGAGTCTCCGGCTGGGCGGGCGCCTGGCCGGCCTTTGGAAGGTCCTCCGCCACAAGGAAGCAGCAGGGGTGACGCTGGAGGCCAGGTGACTTCCGCCCTCTCCTCTGTCTCACGTGGTCACCCACAGACCCAGTCACTGTGTGTGCGGGAGTCCAGGCCACGGGAGCCCACGCGTGGGTGACCTGCCATTCACCCAGCCAGGCCCCGGCCCACAGCCATCACTGCTGGCCAGGCGTGCAGGGAAGGCATCGCAGATCAGTCCAGGCTCCGTCTTCCAGCTGAAGCGCCGGACGCAGTGGAGATAGGCAAGTGGTCCCCGCAGTACCCTGTGTAAACTGCTCACCCACAGAGACCGTGCAGACATAATAACTCACTATTATTACTGTGGTTTTTTTCATTGAAGTAGAGCTGGTTTACAACGTTGTGTTAGTTTCAGGTGTACAGCAAAGTGATTCAGTTATACATATACATATATATATGTTCTTTTTCAGATTCCTCTCCATTGTAGGTTATCACAAGGTATTGAATAGAGTTCCCTGTGCTCTACAGTAGTGTGTATATGTTAATCCCAAACTCCTAGTGTATCCCTCCCCCATTGTTTTCATCTAGCAATACCACATTTGGGGGTGATTTGTCATGAGGAAGAAGAGAATAACACAGAACCTCAGGAACCTGCAAGACCATATCACCAGGTCAAACATTCACGCGACTGGAGTGCCTGACAAAGAGGAGAGAGACAAGGGGGCAAAAAAGACTTGAAGATCAATAGTAAAAAGATTCCAAAATTTGATGAAAGACATAATTTTACAGTTTCAAGAAACTCAAGGAGCCCCAGGCTGGACAAACGCAAAGAAGAACTTGACCGGGTGAATTACGGTCAACCTGCCGAAATACCTTGAACATGTTTAGTAAGAATGACCCGCTCTGGAGAGGGAAGTGGGTTCAACCTGCCACCTCCTTGCAGCCCCACTGCTGCTGTGGGTCCCAGGGACCCGGACGGTCACGGGCACTTTTAGGGACAGGCCTGGAAGTGGCCTCCAGGACTTGGGTCCACCTTCTAGAGGCCAGAGGTCAGGGCCGGGCCCCACCCAAAGCTCTGGGGAGGCGGGAGGTTGTGGGAAAATATGGGCTTCCTGAGCGCCCAGAGCGGGACCCGGCAGTGAACTCAGATGAGAAGAGGCCGTCTCTCCAGCCATAACTTCCTAATCACACCTGCCCTGCTGATCTGACCTCTGCACTTGGGGAAATCTCCATCCATACAGAGTTGCTCCATTTCATTCTCCCCTTTCATCCCCTTTGAAAATTAAAAACCTCTCTAATCTTTGCTGAAAAGCTAACGATCATTTACACAGAGCAAAGTTAAGCCATAAATCTGAAGGCTTGTCCGTGGATCGGGGACTTGCCCCTCAAAAGCCCTTTGCTTCCAGACTGCCCTGCAGCATTGCCCAGCCCTCGCCCCGCAGACCCCTAATCCAACATCCTTCCTTTGCCCACCAGGGATCAAAATAATTTTTTAAAATCTCATGCTACACCGTGGGTTTTGGTTTTGTCCAATTCCTGATATTTCAGCAGTGTTGTTTTCTGCCACTAAAGGTGTTTTCGAGCCAGCAACACCATAGGTGACGTTGTCTCTGAAGGAAATACATTCTGAGTTTCAAACAACTGACTTATTAAGACATTTGCGGTTTGGAAATGAGGCACCAGCTGCATTTTAACTCTTTGGAGACTTGTGCTCCACGCGTAGTAAGTGCAGTAACTTCCAGGTCCCCAAGCTGTTCATTTCACAAAAACCACCCATTTCCTGACCATTTCACTCAGTAGAAGCTACTGTTGCCGAGGCCTCCAGGCCTCCAAGGCACAGGTGTGAAGCCATGAGGTAGCAAATTGCACGTGTCCTCCATCGCCTGGCACCGTCTCAGGCCCCACGGCTCCCTCGGAAGTCACAGCCTGGGGTCAGAAGCGGCCCCGTCTGTAAATGACCGAATTGCGGGGAAGTCCCTGTAAAGCGCACAGCGCTGAACCGATGCAAGGCCCCCGATAGTGAACCACTTGCCGGATCATCACATGCTGGTTCCAAAGCAACAGCAGGACCGAGGCTGTGGCAGCTTTAAAACTAGAATCCGAGGGCCTAGCAGTCGCCAGGCGCCCTCCGATGGAATGAAGGAAGCACATTTGCCACCGGAGGGCATCTTGCCACTGGCATACACACGTGTGCACAGCGGTGCACAAATACATACGCACTGCGCGCACACACGTCTACATACGTGTGTTCACATATAGGCATATACTTTCACGGGCACACACACACCCATACACACACCAGGATGCAAATGCACACACGTCACACGCACACGAGGACACAGGGCCCAAAGGGACTGCATGCGTTCCCTAGGTTAAAGCATAGGCAACATCTGGGAAAAGAGAGAGAAAATTTCTAGAAATATGTTAGAATCCCATAGACTTGGACTCCATACGATTTCTCACTTGGCCTGCAGCCCCCTTTCCCAACATGGAAACCCCCCAGGAGGAGGGCTGGCGGGTCAATGACATGTCTACACAGGAGTCAGCTGTCAATTCTGCAGTGAAATCAGCTGTATGGACCAGGCAGTGGGAGCGACTCTGACCCTGCGAGGCCCCCAGACGGCCCGTGGGGCCGGTCACCGCCCAGGAGAGGTCGGGACGTCCACCGGACACAAAGGAAACGGCTCTCATTCTGCACACGCAGGGCCCGCCATGCAGGTGGGCGCGTGCCCTGCCCCGTCACAGAGGTGGCCAAGCACACACCGCGGCCGGACCCAGGCGCGCCCGCTTCAGAGCCTGCTGCTGGGGACCTGCTGCAGGGAGGAGCAGAGATCGGGGCGGCTCCCCGGATCACGTCTGGCTACATCCCCGCACCAGCTGCTGAGTCACAGCTAGTCCGCCCCACGCGCACTGACTCGGTAAAAGCATTTCTATCCGGATCCCTCCGGCTCCCAGGCCTTGTAGACACAGCCAGCGACGAAGGCTGTGTAGACCGACCTGGGCAGGCCGTGGGCTCCTGGCCCAGCACAACTGCACTGGGGGCTGGGTCTTTTCCTTTAGGGGAAGCTCACGAGTGCCTCGTTTACTCACGTCCTCAGGGGGCTTGGTCTGATTTTGTGCAGAATCAAACCTCCAGGACTTCTGAGGGCCTAAGGCTTCTGCTGTCCCCAGACATGGAAAATCTGACCTGGAGCCTGGCCACGCTTGCTCTTCTGCCAGAAGGGAGACTAGGAACGTCGGCCTCCATTTCCGGGAGCCCGAGGACACCGCGTGTGGGGCACCCCCTGCTCACCCTCAGCCCGGATCACACACGGGCCAAGGCCCAGGCCACCATGTCCCCCGCTGTGCCGGCTAACACTGCCCAGGGATTCCATTCTGCTGGGGGTCAGCTGCTGGAAGGCTCCCCCTTTGGACTCTGAGGGTCACTTCCAGCGGAGGTCCAGGACCCCAGCCATTACTAATATTCTCTGCAGATTTTTTTGTTTTTCTGCTGCGGTTTTACGTGGATCTGGTCAGGCCGGGGCTGGGGGCCGAGCCAGGGTGGGCACGGCTGCAAGAGTGGCTCTGCACTCCCCGAGTCTGGGTTCTATGGCAGGTGAGTCGGACGTGATGGTTTTCAACGGCCCCTGATCTTTCCTAATTTTATAGACTGTTTGGGGTTCCTATAGCTCGGTGATTGCTCGCAGGGTCAATGATGTGAGCCGATACCATAAACTGTGCCCATGAGGGATTCTCCCCCCTTCCCCCCAACCATCCCCGCAGACCCCGCGTGGACCTCCTTTCTGTTTTCCCAACAGCATAAACAGCGAGCAAGGGGGGACACTGCCAGCAGTATTTTCTGAGCTGCAAAGGCGCTTTCCAAGTGCAAGCCTGGGAGCCACTGGGAGCCGGGCCTCTGGAGAGGCCGGGAAGAACCCCGGGGCTCACTTAGGCTGCCAAACCCTGGCTGGGTCGAGGCATGCAGATATGCCCGCAGGAGGGAGGAGTTCATCCTGCCGGGTGGAGAAGACTCCCCTCTCCCAGCCCCTGCCCTGCCCGCGGAGCCCGCCAGCCAGCATTCATTAGTACACCCATCTCTCATCCAAGCTTCTGGGTGTGATAAAGAATTAGGGTTAGCAAACTAGGTGAGGAGAGGGCGTTTGGAAGTGACACCGTGGTGATTGATGCTGCTAATAAGCCTTCAGCCGGGAGAGTTCCAGCCCCCGCCCAACACATCCCTCTCGCACCTGCCGGCGGCTGCGAGGCCCACCTACCTGCGTTCCTTCCCCAGCGCAGGCAGGGAGCACCCAGCCCGGCCTGTGCCCAGAGGCGGCGTGGCCCTGTGTCTCTTGAGGGCGGCTGCAGGCCTGCCTTCCAAGACTGGGTCTTTCTCCTCCCATCCTTCCCTCGTCCCTCCTTCTCCCCAAATACTCACACATCCCTAAATCAAAGGAAAAAGAGTGCAGCTGCCCCTCATGCATACCTCTCGAACATGACCCCATCTGCCTCCGTCTGCGTCTGCGGGGTTTTCTTTCCACTTTTTCTTCCCCTCTGGGAACCGCAGAAAGTGTGTCCATGGCGGTCGATGGCCGGGCAGTGGTGGCGCGGCCCCGCTGAGACTGCTCCGTGGTGCAGACCCAGCGGCCACGCTGCTCGTGACTCGGGCCCCGTTTCTCCCATGAGGGACTGTAAAAGAAGCCCCACTTTTGGACTTCCCTGGTGGCGCAGTGGTTGAGAGTCCACCTGCCAATGCAGGGGACACGGGTTCGTGCCCTGGTCCGGGAAGATCCCACATGCCGCAGAGCGGCTGGGCCCGTGAGCCATGGCCGCTGAGCCTGCGCGTCCGGAGCCTGTGCTCCGCAACGGGAGAGGCCACAGCAGTGAGAGGCCCGCGTACCTCAAAAAAAAAAAACAAAAAACAAAGCAGCCCCTCTTTAGAGTAGTTCCCGTTAAGACACAACACATTTCATTCTAGGAGGGAAATGTGACCAAACGACTAAAGGGTTTTTTCTTTTTAATTCATTGTAGGTAAGCACCTTCTCAGAGCAAAACGTTGGCCTGGGTGTAGTGAGAATTCAAAGTGAAATAAACAGTTCCTGCCCTTCAGAATGTGACAGCAGAGGTCACAGAGCAGGTCACCCAAAAGTGTCCTAAAAGCTAAGGTAGGGGATTGGGCAGCAAAAGCGCAGGAGTCTGGCCAGGGGGGTGCTCACCTGGGGAGAGCTGTTCCAGCAGCAGGGACACGGAGGATGTGGGCAGACCTGTGGGTCAGAGCAGGGCACCTGCTCCAACAGGGAACAGGCTTGGCAGCAGGCTAAGGACTTAGAGTTTTCCTGGAGCCATCGGGAGCTGTTAAGGGGTCTACCCAGAGACGACTGACACAGTAAACAACGTGGCCTTGTTCGGCTGAGCCATCTTGACAAAGGAGAAGCAACACGGGTGGCCAGGTGGCCCACAGCTGAAAGGCTGGTGTGTCCCTCCCGCGAGCCACCGGCCCCCCAACCTGGGTGGTCCTCTCCTGACTGCCTTCCTCTGGGCCACCGAGACCCCCAAGGCCTTCACACATCTACCCTGCCTGGGATGCCCTTGACCTCTACTGACTTATCTTCCTCTGCTCCAATATCGTTCCGGATAGCACAAATTGAATTATTTCACTATACTGGCAACTCTGCTCCCGGACTCACAGCAAGGCATCCACCCCTGGCTCCTGGAAGGGTGGTCGCATCTTGGGAAGCTCCTGGGGATCCAGGCAGGGAGACTCATCTTCACTGGTGTGAGAAGTCTTGTCAAGTGTGGTCCTTTCTCACAGAGGGGCTGGTGGGAGATTGACGGATCGTGCTACGGGAAAGATGCAAACACATCTGTCGATCGAGTTACAACGACAAATAAAACAATGTGTGCGGGACCCTGTGCAGACTGAACAGCGTTACCTGCTCTACGGGGTGTTGTGACGTGGACAGAGATTCTGGGAACGGCTTCAGGCATCCACCACAGGCACCGTTTCCCTTTTTCCAAATTGGCTACATCTCACCCGGAAAGCCTCCACATCCGCTGCTGATCCCACACGCACGCTGGCCGAGCGTCTGTCCTCGCCCAGCTTCCCCCCGACCTGCAGCTACACCTAAAACCCGCCACACCCCCGACTCTATGTGGCAAAACTGAACATCTTCCCCGTGAGCCCCCTGTTTGCCTCCAAAGTAGAGGACACCCACAGAAGTCTTCCTGGGGCCACCCTCTCGCTGCTTCTGCTGTGTTTACGGGACAGCCCGCCCCTCACCGTCTCCCTCGGCCCCTCATTCACGTCCACGCCACCGTGGCTCCATCTTTCCAAGGGCAAATCTGATGGTGTCACTTCAGCCGTCAGCGGCTCCCCGTCCCCTGATAAATGCATCCAAGGCCCTCTACACCCTTCCCGCTGCCCTTCTGCTGGCCCTCCACGCCCCCCACCAACCCGGTGCAGGTTGTGCTCTGGTCGTGCTCCACTCCTGCAGCTCACGGACCCCCACTTCTTCCACGCTGTTTCCACGATGGCAGCGCCCCCGCTCCCTCCAGGAACCCCTTGCTGATCCTTAAAGACGGGCTCAGTGTGGGGACCTCAGCCTCCCAGCCCCTGACGCTCGCCAGCCGACCACTCGTGCATCCCTCCCCACAGCGCCGTCCTGGGTTTCTTTACACCTCTCCCCCCATGAGACTGTAAACTGCCTTATGGCAGGATACTCCCGTTCTTCTCGGCATCCTCAGAGCCTGCACGTGTGTCAGGCGGTCAGTGAATGTCTGTTGAATGGGGGAAACCACGAGCTCTTCCCCTTCCCCTGGCTCTGACATCCACCATCTTTACAATTCTTATTATTTCTATCCTGCCTTGTTCCAGAGGGATCTAAGGATACTTTGATCAAAACTTCACAAAGACCCATTTGCCGGGACTCCTGGATTAGCAAAGAGATCCAGAGGCTTAAAATTATCAATTCATCCATTCGACCAACGAATACGTATCCAGCTGTAAGTGCCGGGGATGCGTTCAGCTCCACGTCCAGCTTCACCCGAGACATCCTCAGGAAGCTCAGGTTTTCTCATTGATTACGGGAGGTTTGGGTACGAGCAAAAACTACCCACGGTTTATAATGATCCCAGGAGGAAGGTGGCAAGAAGTCTCTTATCCATTCCTTGGAGAAGAGCTGCTGACGACGCCAGTTCTGTTCATCCCCACCTTGAATCCTGAGAACGCTTTCCAAGGAGTTAGTCCATCCCAGACGGCAAGCTTCCACAGAGACTTCAGCAACTCCGGCCAAGCGGGAGTGATGGGAGGGTCCTGGCGACCACCCGCCAGCTCCAGCATCCAGGACCCACATTTATCCCCAGTAAAAAGAAGGCCTGGACGGGATGCCGTCAAAGATCTTCCCATCTCTGGAATTCCGGGATTCTGAAACTCTGTCCCACAGGAGAGGGCAGGGGAGCCCATTTGGGTGGAGCTGCTTTGTCTTAAAGAAAACCAGCTAAGAGGGATGGGCGTGGCCTCTTTGAAGAGACCGCCGTACAGGAGGGTCCAGGGAGGGGGTTGAGGGAGCAGAGGTCTCGAAGGACCGCGCTGACAGTTTCTGCTTTGTCCGTCCACTCATTCAGCAAGCGTTTGTTGGGATACTTACCTGAAAGACACTGTATGGACAGAGGGGCACAGCAGCCGTGGGCAAGGTGGGCAAAATCCTGCCACGTCACACTCAAGCACGGGGCAGGGAGAGTCGTTTACGAGGCTGTGACGAAGCCGTGGAGGGGCCGGAGCAGATGGGGAGGCTGGGGCGATGGTGGACGAGGAGGAAGGATGCGGCTGAGCCCCTGGGGAACAGGGACAGCTTCCCAGACGGAGGGCGGGCCAGGTGTCAGGACCCAGAGGTGGGATGAGAGGTGGCCCCTGAAGGGGATGGTGCAGGTGCTGGGACGTGGTCAGACCCAGGACCACCCTGACCGTGGAGCTGCTGGCCGGGCGGTGGGCGCGGTGGGAGGGCAACGAGCAGGGGATTCCAGCACGAATGTCAGTGTTCTCGCTTCAGCAGCTCAGCAGATGGGGTGGGGCTGCTGTGGGATGCCAGGTCCTAGAACAGTCTAGGAGGCCACTTATCTCAGAGACAAAGAGCCTCCTCAGGTGCTTCATGTATTTTTTTTTTAAGACAACCCAATTCTTTTTTTTTTTTTTTTTTTTTTTGTGGTACGCGGGCCTCTCACTGTTGTGGAGCACAGGCTCCGGAGGCACAGGCTCAGCGGCCATGGCTCACGAGCCCAGCCGCTCCGCGGCAGGTGGGATCTTCCCGGACTGGAGCACGAACCCGTGTCCCCTGCATCAGCAGGCGGACTCTCAACCACTGCGCCACCAGGGAAGCCCGACAACCCAATTCTTAAAAAATATTTATTTATTTGCCTGCACTGGGTGTCAGCTGCAGCATGTGGGCTCTAGTTCCGTGAACAGGGATCGAAAACCCGGGCCCCCTGCATTGGGAGCGCGGTGTCTCACCCACTGGACCACCAGGGAAGTCCCCCCAGGCTCTTTTCCCATGAAAACGCTGCCATATTCCCAGCTTTTTTGCTCTCTGTGGGATCCGCCCTCGAGGAGAAAATCAGGCAAAGTTGGTGTTGGGTGGCCACCTCTTCCTCCTGTGGCCGGATGTACAGACGGCACAGGGAAGGCGGGAAGCCGGCACAGGTTGGAACCAGTCGGCCCGTCCTGCTTGCCCTGTCTCATCCCAGGTTGCACCCTGCATCCCGGGTTCTCCACAGTCAGGACCCCGGAGGCTCTGGCCCCAGCGCACCCCTGCAGCTGCTTGGCCTTTTCCTAACAGGGATGTGGTCGCACCTGGAGGGGCGCCCACGCGGGACCAGTCCTGACAGGAGAGAAACAGGGGGCCTCTGGGCTTGAGCACGGTAAGCAGACAGCACACCCCCGTGGGCCCAGGGACTCCCCCACAGGCGGAGGTGGGCCAGGACCACGGAGCCAGGGAGGGCCCGCAGTCCCACGTCAGGCGCCCACTCAGGTGGGCCATTTCTGCCATGAGACGTCAGCTGACCGTTGCCTTAACAACCTCAAGGACGCCTCCCATCTCATCTGCTGCCCCCGGTCCCAGGACTGGAGGCTCAGCAGCTGTAATACTAGCAAATTTCATGTTGATCCTTTAGCGGAATTCTAAAGCACTTCATGAAATGACAGACGGAGTATTCGTGTTATTAAAGGGTATGCAGCATTTTATGAGCCCAGTGTTGCCTGATACCAGAACCAGGCAAAGACACCACAAGACAAGAAAACTACACAGCGACGTCCACGTGAATATGGACGCACAGCGACGTCCATGTGAATATGGACGCACAGATTCTGAGCAAAGCACCAGCAGACTGAGTCCAGCAACATGCAAGAATTATGCACCATGACCAAGTGGGATTTATCCCAGGGATGCAAGAGTGGCTGAAATCTGAAAATCAATTAAGGTAATACATCAAATCAATAGAATAAAAAGTAAAAACGACACAACCATCTCAACACATACAGAAGGAGCACTTGACAGACCCGAGACCTTTTCATGATAAAAACACTCAGCAAACCAGGAATAGAAGGGAAATCCCTCAACCTGACAAAGGGCATCTAAAGGAAAACCCACAGCTAATGTCACACTTCATCGTGCAAGTCTGAACGCTTTCCCCATAAGATCATGAAGACAAATGTCGACTCTCACCTGCCCATTCATAAATGTGCTGGGAGCTCTACCCAGGGCAGTAAGGCAGGAACAGGAAATAAAAGACGTCCACGTGGGAAAGGTGACATGATACGGTACGTACAAAATCCCAAGGAATCTGCTAAAAAACTATCACAGCTAATAAGTTAGTTCAGCAAAAGAGTACGATACAGGTCAATATATAAAAATCAATTATATTTCTATACACTTGCAATGAGCAATCTAAAACATGAAATTATGAAAACAGTTACATTCACAATAACATCAAGAAAAGTAAATTACTTATGAATAAAGTTAACAGATGAAACATAGACTCTGAAAACAACAAAGTATTGTTGAGAGAAATGAAGCTCTAAATAAATGGAAAGACATCCCATGTTCATGAATTGGAAGACGTAACACCGGGAAGACGGAAGTATTCCCCAGGCTGATCAGCAGATTCACCTCAATCCCTACCAGAATCCCAGCTGACTTCCTTATGGAAATTGAGAACCTGCTGTAGCAAGGGCTGTACTGGGGTGCACACGGAGTCCCGCACGGTTCTGAGGCCAGAAGTGTGCGGTCGGGTGGGTGAGTCACACTCCCTCTGCAGCTCTGAGGGGAGAGGCTTCCTTGCCTCTGTGGTCATGGCGGGCTCACAGATGCGTCTCTGCAGTCCCTGCCCCCATCGCCAGGTGTCCCCTGCAGGTCTGCATCTCCACTTTCCTCTACGATGATTGTATCGGACTGGGGCCCTCCTCCAGGATGCTACCCTCTTAACTCAGTGATAACAGCAGGGACCCTGCTTCCAAGTACAGGGTCAGGACTTTAACATATATTGGGGGGGGGCACAAAATCCAGCCCCCAACTGGCCACAGGAATTTGCCTTTACGACGTGTTTTACTGAATTCTCCTCTGTCCTCGCAGGCACCAGTCGGAGGGAGGTTGCGTCACCACGAAGCACCCGCCCTTCCACTGGCTGTGGTCCTGTCGTGTCCTGCTTTGTT